ATCAACCATTTGCAGTTACTACCACTTAGGAAAACCAGACTTTTTTGTCCATCCAATCTATTGGTAGTAGCACAAAAACTATTGACAAAAACAAATTCAGTTTGAGAGTAAGCATTCAATCTCAAACAGGAAAAAACAAATCCAGTTAATGGTAGTCAAGTCTTTGTTTCGGTCTATAGATTCCTTTCAAAGTTCAAACCCTCCACTTCTGAAAAACAAAACAATAGCATTACATAAAAAGACAAGAATAAATGTAAAAAAAAAAAAAAAACATCAAAACCCCAACCAAAAAGAAAGTTAAGTACCTGAGTATTGGGTAAATCAAGTTTTGGTTGTTCAGGCAACTCCACTTCAATTACCACATTCTCCATGGAAACCCGCAAAACCCCCAGTTCAAATTATCCAAAGTCTCCGCCCTGCCCAAACCTCAATTATATATATATATATATATATATTAAATATATAATATATATTTCATATTAAATATATAATACTTTATTTATTTATTTATATATGATATTATTTATATTATATATACTAGTGGAGTCAGGAATTTTCTTTTGGGGGGGCCAAGTTATCTAGATATTTGTTTTGGTTTATGGTAATGAAAAAATTATGTTAAGTATATCTGTTGGTTATAGGCTTTGTGGAAACTCCCAAATCCAGTAAGTACTACTTAATTCTCAATGTAATTGACTTAATTTTTTCCCATGGTCTGTTTTCTTGATAAAAACAAGAAAATGAGATAGAGAACAGATAGGACTTGGAGAGAAATAAGGTAGGAGGTTTTGGGTCTATTATGTGGTTCTTATGAAAGAAAAATAAATAATGTTTTTTATTATAATTTTGGGAGTTAAGTGGAGGGGCATTAGAGAGTTAGAGAACACTCTTTAACATTTTAATGGGACCTTTTTGATTTTTTTTTTTTTGGGGGGGGGTGGGGGTGGGGGGTAGCTTTGACCCACTTTATTACTGTATTACTTGCAAAGGTCTGGTTTTAACAAAATGTTTGGGGGGCCAAGGACTCCCCAACTTTATACTTGGCTCTGCCCCTGATTATATATATCAAAATACTGTTAATTAACAAATTTCAGGGATTTGGGTCTTCATGAGAAACTCGTCTCCATCGGCGATCGGGGATAGAGAACAACTTTTACCCTCATTGGGGGTCAGGGTTGGGGATGGGAATATGATCCTCACCCCATTGCCATTCCTAAACGTTTAAAGCCTCTCCTGAAATTTAACCTCTCCAAAAACCTCCAGGCTAAATTATGTTTATTGTCCCCTTCTGTTAAATTTGACGTGAGTAACCTAACAGGAATTGATGATGTCATGTTTTTAACAATGAAATTATACTAATAGCAATGAAATAATAATAGAAAATAATAAGGGTAAACTCATAATTTTGCACTCTCTACTCAAGTTAACAGAAAGGACCTCAAACATCAAGAAGGTTTTTGGAGAAGTTAAATTTCAAGGGAAGTTTAAGTAATTATAAAATGTCAGGGGAGGTACAAGTGATTTACCTTTTTTTTTTTAATTTAGGAATTGATACAAAGCACCTCTAGGAAATATATTAACCTTCAAAAGTGGTCAGATGTGATAGTATTTACTGTATTGGTGGGTTTAAAAACCATTTTTTTTTATAATGGTTCAAAAACCAATTTGTATCATAAGATATGCACTGATACCTATTGATACTTTTTTGCAAGGTTCAAAGTATCGATACGCCCCTGTGTATCGGCAGGGGCATATCGGCACTATAAAATCACCGCTCAATGTGTTTTTTTAGTTTTTTTTTCAAAWTTTGGTTTTTGAAAATGTTTTTTAAATGTTTTTTAACTGAAATAAATGACGGTCCCAAAACACTAGTAAATAGGTATATTGAGACT